TTACCAATCCAGTTCCTCTATATATATCATATAGGAGGCTCTAGGTTGTAACTTGTAAGCACCAGATTTTGAAGAATATGAATTCTCTATATTACAGTTCCGTCAATTTGTAAATATCCACGTMAAATAAAATTGACCCTTCAGGTAAGTCTAATCTATTATGTTGAAGTCTTAAGACGGTATGAATATCACCATGATATRGGGTACTAAAACTAAAAGCATCATATTGCTCCTCATAACATTCAAGAATCTAGCAAAAAAATAATGGTTAGGATATGCAGGATCTTTTTAACCACAATATGTTAACCAGAAGGGTACCAAAGTCTATGAMCACCACAAATGGCACAAGAAATGATGAAAAATGTTCAATGCTAATATTAATTTTATCTTTTACATAAGTTGAATTCGGATGAGTTACTACAAGCATSGAAGATCTTGTCTTGCTTCATGATCAAAAGTTGCAAGTATCCTATTATGAAAACAGAACACATATTCATACATACTTATAACAGTAWATTGCAAGAAAACTCACAAAGACAATGTAACAAGTAGCTTCCAGAGGGATGCATCCTTCGGTTTCAAAACTACAGCAAGCATATACAAGCCCAGAGATCTCCTTTTATCCCCAATAGCATTATATACAAGGCCAAGCATATGATAAGGATCAGGCAAACTTGGTGACATCTTAATGATTTCCTTCAACAAAGGYATGGCCTAAGGTTCAAAAAAGAACAAACAGTTACGAACAAAGACAAAAATCAACATACAAASATAACAAATATAAACAAAAACCAAGTTGTCTGAAACATGACAACCCACAAATGAAAGAAGTGGAGCTAAATTGTAGAATTTGAGTTAACATGCCAACCACCCARTGCATCAAAGGCAACATATCACTGTACCTCTTCATATCGCCYATGCGCATAGTATAGCGTAGCATCACCTAATTTGTGTGTAATTTCTGGACTAACTTTCTTCTTTGATCCCTTCCTCCTACCTCTTTTCTTAATCTGCCACAAATGGCATCCATCAAAAAATTACAAGATGAACTACAATACAGTTAGCAACCAGAAACTCAGTGAGAAACAATACATTAATGCAAGAGATTTCCTGAAATGAAAATGTTGGAAGAAATGTACATATTGAGCAAAAAAGCAGCTAAAATCATGTAGAGTTAACAAAAACAAAAAAGTATTAACAGAACATTAGAGATTAAAGATTAGTTTACAAGGTTTTATGTGTAAACATCACTTAGAAGGAAACTTAACTGTGCTAATCTTAACCCAAAAACAGCAGCATGATGTGCTACGTGCATTCTAAAGTCTAGACCAATAATTACAAGAAAGAAAATATTCTCTCAACACAAAAAGCATTTATTCAATTTACATATTTAATAATCAATCTATGAAAAAACTCGGTAAGGAAACATTAAGAAGGCTTGAATTYAAACAAAAATGGCATMTCACTTCTACAACAATTTTGGCTTCAAGTTCAAARAGCACTCATCCATTGCTTCTATTGAACCTAAACATGAACGCATGGGTGAATACTGAACCAGTTTATGGACCAAGAAWAGYAAGTAGGAATCTAACCTAATTCAATCTTTTCACACTGTCCTCACGATCAASTACTGATAACAATCATGTCCAAATTGACAAGCAATACAGAGATAAAGTAGGTAAATGGAACATCGCAAAGGTCYGAAAGCTACACAATTCCTTGTGTAACATAKAAACCTATTCACCTATATGTCGGCTCACTATTCTTCCCCTCCCACCCGCTACAGAAGAAATCAGGTCCAAAAACAAAASAAAAGTACAAGACAAGAACRAAGACCGAAACAAACAAATGAAAAACGAAGCAACCAGCACATTGTGTGGACGGATCCTCATGTTGAGTCTCCTATTCTCCTGAAAAGAAATCTTAGAATCAAATCACAACCTATTTAGGAGGCC